AATGGCCATGGGGAACATTACTTATATGGAAAACAGGCACAAAACCCAGTTTCCCGACTGCTAAAAGGAAATTCCAGGATTTTAATCAGGTGAGATTTTCTTTCTATTCTTTCTCTTGTTGACATGAAGTTTCAGACCCACGATTGGATTGTGGCTCTCTCTTCCCTCCAAAAAAACCTCCCAAGCTAACCAACCAACCCCATTATTTCAAGAAGTTTCGCTTCCTGATTACATAGGGGAAACCTTGATTTATGCTAATGCTGGTGTCATTTGTTTGTTTTGCTATCAAGGGATTGCAAATTGGAATAACCCATATTTTACTTTAATCTGTAAAGTAAACATAGAGCAGGTTACAATAAATATTTTATTTGCTTCTAGACAGACTTTCAGGATACAGAAAATAAAAATAGCAAATGTGAGTAGGCAAACAGGTGAGACCTAAAAATGAAGTAGTATAGTATTGTACTGTTTTCTGAAAGGGCAGCGTAGAATTATATCTATTTATCTGTCTCATTTGAAATAGACAAACATAGTCTGGAAACAAAACACATCAGTCATTCTCTCTCTCATATTTTGAAACTAGAATTTCTTTTAAAATTAAACTTAAGTTTATTTTTTTCTTCACTCATATTTATAGAATAAAATATTTATCAAGACAATAGATTTTTCTCTTCAGATACCACTCTAACATCTCTCTTTGAATGAAGTTGATGATTTGTGTGTATTCAGGCAGGTGCTAATACTCCCCGTATTGGTCAGACAAGGGAGCGGAAGACACTGATAAATTTGTAGCTTGTTATCCTGCAATTTCTTTTTAATTCCAACAGTTTCTCAGTTTTTTCTCACTGCAAACTGAACAGCAAAATAAGCATTGCAAGCTATGGGCTTTCCTGCTCTGAGCATCCGCTACTGAAAGGCACCTGCTAATATGCTTTAATGACCCCAGAGGTGCTATGCCCTCCAAAGGAAAGGTGTAATTTTATATTTCTGAAAAGCAAATTCCTAATTGATCCCATTGCCTAGCAAAATAAGAAAAGTGGCAGTAGAAAATAAGAAAAGGTCATTTTGATCACTCAGTACGCAAAGAGCACATTATTATGAGCGCTGACAAATTACACTGTGTGTCATATTTCTGATAGTGGAAGGTCAAGTTGAGCCTGGGGTAGGAGAGAGAACAAATATAAACAATAAAAGCAAAGGGACTTGAATTTTTATGAGCTGAAATTTTCAGCTCATTATTGCATGGGAACACATGTCAATAAAGCTATTAGGGTTTCTCTACAGAACAATTTATTGAAAATGCAGCTTCTGGAAAAATACATGAGATGGGGTGATTGTCGGTGACTAGTCCCAATAGTATCGCCAGGGAATAATGTGATCCATTGTCAAAATGCAGCCATAGGCGACCCTTCGGAACCTCTGCTCTTTAGATCCGAGGTGAAGCTACTGATACCGTTTATTCCCAATGGGAATGGTGCCAGGTGTCATCCACACAATTGGGTTCTCGTAAACGGGGAGTGTTTATTTCTCCTTCCATCTCCTACCATTCACACCACCCCGTTAGTTTCAGAGTGGGAATGTGTGATGCTGTCTCTGACCACTTGGGGTTTGGCCAGAGGGGGAAATACTCAAGTTCCCCATGTATTTTTGTTTCAACTGGATGCCAAACACACCAGGAGATCTTCTCCCAAAAGCCTGATTCAAGAGATTTCCAGCCCAATTCTGTAGCCACCAGAGGTTCGGGTAATTTCTGAAATGCTTCTGAATGTGGGGCTCCAATAGCCTGTGGAGTTTCCTATGCTGGAGAGCTCTTCTGTGTTCCCCTAGTAAGTGGGAGGAGTGGGCATGACAGTTGTGGAGTGGGGAGGTGCCATTGCAGAACAGTGTGTGGTTACGCTTACGGGTCAGAGCTGCTCCTGTGCAGCTGTGTCTTGCGCTGGGACCAGGTAGCTGAGGAGCATGGAGTGAACAGATGGCTCCGCAGTTCTTTGGTGGGATGGAGAATCTGCCCCATGTGATGGAAGAAGAGACTGAAGTCAAAGGGCCTGATCCAAACATGAGGGACGTCAATGGGATTTTTTCCATGCATGCCAATGGCCTTTGGCTCAGACCCTGAGCAGGACAGGAAGTAGGGATGGTAAAATGTGTTCATTCAGGTAAACAA